AGCCTGGGCAACAGAGCGAGATTCTGTCTCTAAAGGAAAAATGATTTATTACTGGGTTTAGTGAATAACTTCTAATAAATGTTTAGTAACTAACTTTAGTAAATATAACCTAAACAATTACTTATTCTTGGGCCTGAGACTTCTTGAGCCACAGTGTCGTTCCCACATGTTCTGCAGTGTTCTTTAAAGCCCTACCCACATAGCTGCATGTGTGATTCACACCCTTCTCAGGCACTCCCTGGCTCAGCTGGGATGGTACTCAGTGGCAAAGCTGGCCGGTGCCCTCCCGTTTGGCCCAACCCTGGGCTCTGTTGTCATCTTTGTGCACAGGATGGTCCTGGAGCCATGGCAATGAGCAGACATTCTCCTCTGAGAACACTGTGGCCACAACACTGCCTAGCCTTACTTGCTGGGCTGAGCTCCTTTCCTTCCTAGAGACAATAAACCTATCTTGTCCTTGCTACTTGGCTGACCTTTTGATTTTGACCACTGCTGCTTTACAAGTTTGTCCATGTGTCTAATGCTATCACAAATGCGCTTCTTTATTGCAGAGAATAAAAACAATAAAGGAGCTTTATTTTTGGCTTTAGCACTATGACTTCCATATACATGTTAATGAATGGAAAAGCATTCATTAAAAGGTTTACATAGTAAAGTTTATTTTATTTTATTTTATTTTTTTGAGATAAGTTATCTTATCTCTGTTTCCCAGGCTGGAGTACGGGGTGCGACCTCGGCTCATTGCACTGTCCGCCTCCCAGGTTCAAGCGATTCTCCTGCCTCAGTCTCCCAAGTAGCTGGGATTACAGGTATGCGCCACCAAACCCAGTTAATTTTTGTATTTTTAGTAGAGAGGGGGTTTCACCAAGTTGGCCAGGCTGGTCATGAGCTCTTGACCTCAAGTGATCCACCCACCTCAGCCTCCCAAAGTGCTGGGATTAGAGGTGTAAACCACTATGCCCGGCCAAAAGTTAAATTTATCTAAGAGAAAATGCCTATCATTTTAATCTCATAACTCCCAAAGTTTTCTGCACGTTAGAATCACTTGGAAATCTTTTTAAAATTCCAAAAGCTACGCCACCCAGACCAATTACACTATAACCTCTGGCGGTGGGACATAGGAACCACCGTTTTTTTTTTTAAGCTCTCCTGGAGGTTCCAATGGGCAGGTAAGTCGGGGACCCTCACTCTAACCAGCATTCACTGAACTGATAAGCAGCAGCGTAAAACGGGAGCTGACATCACCGCTCGGCCCTCATTCCCTTAAGTCCAAAACTACGAAACACACCTGGCGTGAGGAGCAAAGATCCATCGGGAGTGAAACTCAGTCTACGGAAGAAAGACTTCATGCTGTCGTCGTGGAACATCCGGTAGCTTCTTGCCTGTCGCACACAACATTTATTTTTATTATTTTTTTTATTATTTTGTTTTCTTTCTTTTCTACACACAAAGTTTAAACATTTTTCCAAATCTTTACACTCACAATAAAGGCTTCCCAACTGCTGTATGTGCCTATGGTTTTCTTTACACAGTGTCATTTATTGTTGACATAATCATAAATGAAACTGGAACATTACAGATCAGATAACTGTACAATACCGCAAGGGTAAATGTTCATGAAAACTGACCACACGTTTTTGTTAGGTAAAGCTATATGTATATATGTGTGTTTTATGTGTTCTAAAATTATTTTTAAAAACTCTTAAGAACACAAACCACAGGGTCAACAGTGGCATATCTGGGGCTTGAGACTGGGAGATACTGGGAAGATGACCAGGAGACCTCTGCTTTCTATCTGTGTGGATTCATTTAGAATTTCCAACTGAACGCACTCTTTAGAGACAGTCTCATTCTGTCACCCAGGCTCAAATGCAGTGGCGCAATCATAGGTCAATGCAACCTAGAACTTCTGGGCTCAAAGCAATCCTCCCTTCTCAGCCTCCTAAGTAGCTGGGACTATAGGCACATGTCACCACATCCAGCTATTAATAAATGCACTCTTTAAAAAAAGAATATTGTGGATTATTAAACTGGTAACCATTAATCTTTTAAAACAACATTTCTTGAACACCTGTCTGGGACAGTTTTTACTACTACTTATTGACATTTTATGAACATCAAGCGTTTGCCAGACATGGTGGCTCACACCTGTAATCCCAGCACTTTGGGAGGCCGAGGCAGGCAGATCACTTGAGTCCAGGAGTTAAGACCAGCCTGGCCAACATAGCAAAACCCCATCTCTACTAAAAATACAAAAATTATCCAAGCGTGGTGGTGCACACCTGTAATCCCAGCTACTCGGGAGGCTGAAGCAGGAGAACTGCTTGAACCCAGGAATTGAAGGTTGCAGTGAGCCAAGATCGTGTCACTGCAGTCCAGCCTGGGTGACAGAGCCAGACACTGTCTCAACAAACAAGCATTTAATTCTTAAGACTACAAGGAAGCAGGCATTACTATTCATATATATTGAATATATATATTCAAATATATGTAATATATATTTATATGTAATATAAAATATATAAATATATGTAATATATAAAATACAAAATATATCATATATAATATATAAAATATATAATATATAAATATATATTATATAATATACAAAAAATATATATTTTTATATATATATATAGTTTTTGAGACAGAGCTTCGCTCTTGTTGCCCAGGCTGGAGTGCAATGGCATAATCTCGGCTCACCGCAAACTCCACCTCCCAGGTTCAAGTGATTCTGTCTTAGCCTCCAGAGTAGCTGGGACTACAGGCATGCGCCACTATGCCCAGCTAATTTCTGTATTTTTAGTAGAGACAGGGTTTCACCATGTCAGCCAGGCTAGTCTCGAACTCCTGACCTCAGGTGATCTGCCCACCTCTGCCTCCCAAAGTGCTGGGATTACAGGCGTGAGCCACCGCGCCCAGCCAGCATTACTATTCTTACTTCACAGGTGTGACTTCTCAGTGTCTGTCAGCGCCCAGCCCACACTGCCTTACCCTGGTTCCTTGGGTGCATTTGCACCTTGTCCCCGTGTGGAGCCAGTAACCAGCTTGCTTGCCTGCACCTCGCTGCCTGCCTCAGTAGCCTTGATTCCTTTAGAAATAGGGTCTTATTTTCATTTGCCAATTCTTTCAAAGTCAAAATCCTTCCTATTCCTAAATACCAGTGTTTTGGCTGGGTCTCTGCTGTCTGCTAGCAAAGCTCTCTACCTACCTGCCAAGACAGTAAACTGCCTGCTGCCAGACAGATCCAACGCTCGACCTGCCTGTCTTCTGTTGCCTCGTGTAGGGATCTTCCCAGACCAGTAGTGACCAGCCCTTGCTACACCTGAGAATCACGGAGGCCCTGCTTAGCTCCAGCCAAGTGAATCACGCCACTGAGGCTGGGGCCATGGCATCCATATTTTTATTTTTATTTTATTTTTATTTATTTATTTATTTTGAGACTGAGTTTCGCTCTTGTCACCCAGGCTGGAGTGCAATGGCACGATCTCAGCTCACTGCAACCTCTACCTCCCAGGTTCAAGCAATTATCCTGCCTCAGCCTCCTGGGTAGCTGGGATTACAGGCATGTGCCCGGCTAATTTTATATTTTTTGTAGAGACGGGGTTTCACCATGTTGGCCAGGTTGGTCCCAAACTCCTGACCTCAGGTGATCTGCCCGCCTCAGCCTCCCAAAGTGCTGGGATTATAGGCGTGAGCCATCATGCCCAGCCTTATTTCATTTTATTTTTGAAATAGAGTCTCGCTCTGTCGCCCAGGCCAGAGTGCAGTGGCATGATCTCAGCTCACTGCTGAGACCTCCACCTCCCAGGTTCAAGTGATTCTCATGCCTCGGCCTCCCTAGTAGCTGGGATCACAGGCCTGCACCACCACACTTGGCTAATTTTTGTAATTCATTGAGATGGGGTTTGGCCATATTGGCCAGGTTGGTCTCAAACTCCTGACCTCAAGTGATCCACCCGCCTCAGTCTCCCAAAGTGCTGGGATTCCAGTCATGAGCCACTGCACCCGGCCAGCAACCATATTTGTAATTCTTCCCAGGTGATTCCACGGTGCAGCCAGAGTGAAAAACCACTGTCCTATCCTCCATCAGTGGCTCTCCCCTGGTCTCCAGATGTCCCCATTTCCATACAGACTAGCCCACCACAGTAACTGAGCCTTGACTGTCCAAAAGGAAACCTTATTGTAGTTCAGGAATCGGCTCCTTGAGACCAGTGATTTGGCTGCAAGGGTATGGGAGGAGCTCAAGACTTCCTAAGTCTCAGTTAAAGCGCTGCTGAAAAAGAATAGCAAAATATTTTATACCTCTCCTTCAGCACCTATTCCAGACAGCATCTTCGAAACATTAAAAGCCACACGCTTCTTCTGCATACTGTACACTCGCAGCACCCTGAAGAAGGAACATGTCTGATTTACCACTTCTAGTAAGTGAATTATGCTTCACACAGAAACAACTTATTACCAACAGCCTATTACCACCTCAACAACTCTCAGTCTGCAAAAGCCTTTACCCATGATATTCACAACTGGGTAATGAAGAAGGAAGCAAGCATTAACAACCTAAAGGATATTATAGGCTGGGCGCAGCGGCTCACGCCTGTAATCCCTTCACTTTGGGAGGCAGAGGCGGGTGGATCACTTGAGGTCAGGAGTTTGAGACCAGCCTGGCCAATATGGTGAAACCCCATCTCTACCAAAAATACAAAAAAGTAGCCGGGTGTGGTGGTGGGCACCTGTAATCCCCGCTACTCGGGAGGCTGAGGCAGGAGAATCACTTGAACCCAGGAGGCAGAGGTTGCAGTGAGCCGAGATCACGCCACTGCACTCCAGCCTGGGCAGCAGAGCGAGCCTCTGTCTCAAAAAAAAAAAAAAAAATTTTGGTAAGTCACATTACTCCCACTAGCTAATCAGATTGTTTTACTGATGACTGTCTGAATAAAACACACTTATCAGAAAATAAATGGTATTTAGAATACAACAGGAAATTCTATGAAAAATAAACACTAACTCCTCCCTACCACTTTTATTCCAAGGCCATCTTATATTTAATTTGTTTTAATTAAAAGTAGTTAGATAAATATTCAAAAGGACTATTAAGTAATATAGGAGGCACTCCTCATTTTTAAAATATTTATTCCAACAATACAATTAAATGCAATTATGCCAGTAAACACAGCAACAAGACTTCTTTTCAGAAAGGACAAAAATAGTTTATTTTTATATCGATTTAAATGGAGTCATTAAAATCACTGGGCTTGGCGAGGTGGCTCACGCCTGTAATTCCAGCACTTTGGGAGGCCGAAGCGGGCAGGTCACCTGAGGTCAGGAGTTTCAGACCATCATAGTCAATATAGTGAAACTCTGTCTCTACTAAACATACAAAAATTAGCCAGGCATGGTGGCACATGCTTGTAATCCAGCTACTCAGGAGGCTGAGGCAGGAGAATCGCTTGAATCTCAGAGGTGGAGGTTACAGTGAGCTGAGATCGCACTCCTGCACTCCAGCCTGAGGGACAGAGTGATACTCTGTCTCAAAAAACAATTAAAAAATAAAAATAAAAATCACTGTAGCACACCTGTAATCTTAGCACTTTGGGTGGCCAAGGCAGACAGATGGCTTGAGCTCAACAGTTCAGGAACAGCCTCGGCAACATGGCAAAATCCCATCTTTACAAAAAATACAAAAAGTAGCCGGGTGTGGTGGTGCACAACTGTAGTCCCAGTTACTTGGGGGGCTGAAGTACGAGGATTGCTTGAGCCCAGGAGGTCAAGGCTGCAATGAGCTGTGATTGCGCCACTGCACTCCAGCCTGGGCGACAGAGCGAGATGCCTCTCAAAAAAAAAATAGTAATAATAATAAAGATTTACTAAGTTCAGGGCCAGGTGTGATGGCTCATGCCTGTAATCCCAGCATATTGGCAAAGGCGGGCAGATCATTTGAGGTTAGGAGTTTGAGAACAGCCTGACCAACATGGTGAAACCCTGTCTCTACTAAAAATACAAAAATTAACTGGGCATGGTGGCATGTGCCTGTAATCCCAGCTACTAGGGAAGCTGAGACAGGAGAATCGCTTGAAACCAGGAGGCAGAGGTTGCAGTGAGCTGAGATTATGAGACTGTGCCACAACACCTGCCTGGGTGACAGAGTGAGACTCTGTCTAAAAAAAAAAAAAAAAAAAAAGATTTACTAAGTACAAACTTCGTGGAAGGCACTTGTCCTAATTAATTTCCAATTTCTGATTATGTTGTAAGAATGAGTATGAAAATAAGAACAAAAGAATCAAAGCTAGACTATGATAAATCTTGGTTAAGTGGCAATAAATATCTCTCTTCAGAAAATTACAAGTAAACACAAAGAAATTCCAAGTAAATGCTAAAGCTAAATTTACCTGTCACAGCTCAGAGTAGCCACATATTGACCCAAAGGGTCCCAGGTTACTCCTTGGACATAACTTTTATGTTCATTAAAAATTGATATCTTTTGTCCTACAAAAAAACACACATACCGAAACAGCATTATCAAAACCTATTTGAGCCCAAATAGTATAAACTATGACTTAAATATTATTCCCTTTACCATGCATCACTCAGCAGGCAGTAAGTGAGAGACTCCGTGCTGAACCCCGTGTCAGGCTCTGGGGCCACAAAGATGACTTCATGCAGTCCCCACCCTCAGGGAGCTCACAGATCAGACAGACCCATCAACAGGCAAGCATCACACACGTGGACCCGGGGAGGGGAGCTGACAGCACAGGGCAGAGGGTCTGAGAAGACCTAAGTTCAGGTCAGGCAGGATGAAGCGGAGATGAAGGGTGGAAGAAGGTATCGTCAGGGAATCCCCAGGTTAAGACACCTTAGTGAAGAGAATATGGAGCAGTGAGAGGCAGCTGGGAACTGCTAATGGGCACACAGGAGGGCCAAGAACAGAAGATAAGGAGGAAACGAGAAGTGTTACAGAGACCTTGTGTGTAAGGAAAAGGCTGTGGGTATTCGAGCTGAGGAGTCACCTGCATTTTAAAGGTGAAACAGGTTTAGAAGATGACAAAGAGGGTTGCTAGTTAGGAGGTGACAGAGTAGACCAAGAGAGAGATGAGGAGGGCCCTCCTCATCACAGAGCAGACAATGTGAGCAGGGATGAACAAGGGACTTTGGGGAAAATATTTAGCACACAGAGATTGCCTGCATAAAAAGACAAGGGAGTTACAAAAAGACAAGGGAGTTATGAAGCCTTGGCGATTCCTTTTTGTTTTTGTTTTTGTTTTTTTTTTTTGAAACAGGGTCTGGTTCTGTTGCTCAGGCTGGAGTGCAGTGGTGCCATCAGAGTTCACTGCAGCCTCAACTTCCCAGGCTCAAGACACTCAGCAGCCCTAGTAGCTGGGACTACAGGCATGTACTACCACATCCAGCTCATTTTTGCATTTTTTTTTTTGGTAGAGAGAGGTTTTTGCCACGTTGCCCATGCTGGTCTTAACTCCTAGGCTTCAGCAGTCCTCCCAAAGTGCTGGGATTATAGGCGTGAGCCACTGTGCCTGACAAGTCATTCTTTTTTTTGAGGTTTTTGGTGAGGTTCAGTAACAACCCATCACACTTATGGTAAAACCTAAAATCCTGGCTCACGCCTGTAATCCCAGCACTTTGGAAGGCTGACGCAGGCAAATCACTTGAAGTCAGGAGTTCAAGACCAGCCTGGCCAACATGGGGAAACCCCATTTCTATCAAAAATATAAAAATTAGCTGGTGGGGGGGGCACCTGTAATCCCAGCTACTTTGAGGGCTGAGGCAGGAGAATTGTTGAACCTGGGAGGCAGAGGTTGCAGTGAGCCGAGATCGCACCACTGCATTCCAGCCTAGGCGACTGACGGAGACTCCATCTCAAAAAAAAAAAAAAAACATGAAACAAGACAGAATGGAGGATGGAGGATGGCTTGGTTGGACAGCATGGAACTAAAAAGAGCAACAATTTTTACAGGCTGAATGAGAACTGGGCTGACACACTGCTGCAGGGGCAGCCAATAACAACTGCCCTACCCAGGTACTTGAGTTGTAGAATTGGCAGGAAGAGGTTTGGGAGAAAATAAAGTTTGAGTAAAGGATGGCGGGAGATAAAAATGGTTAGGAGTTAGCCACTACTTGCTTTTGGCATTTCACAGCTATTTTTACACCACTATAACTTTTCACATGTCCACTGTCTCCCCAGCTGGAGAACAGAATGTCCCTGGCTTTCCTTGATCTTCTAAAATGGAAACCTGATCCCACCTACTCCATCAACTAGCATGCAATGCCCTATAAATTATAAGTGACTTGTTAATCTTTCCGAGATCCTAACCTCCATAAAGGCAGGGCTCGGGCCTGTCATCTTATCTGCTGGCCCCAGCATGTGGGATTTGCCTGGCCTCAGTATCAGTAACTTGCAGCACCACTACTAAGCCTCTTACCTTCTGACAATCCATGGCATATGGGACTAAACCCTATCCTGTTGAGCCAACCACCTGCTCTGGTTCACTAAAACAATTTTTTGTGTTGCTTTTAAAGTTAAAGCAAGTAGGCCGGGTGTGGTGGCTCATGCCTGTAATCTCAGCACTTTGGGAGGCCAAGGCGGGTAGATCACCTGAGGTCAGGAGATTGAGACCAGACTGGCCAACGGTGAAACCCTGTCTCTATTAATGATACAAAAATTAGCCGGGCCTGGGGACAGACACCTGTAGTCCCAGCTACTCGGGATGCTGAGGCAGGAGAATTGCTTGAACCCAGGAGGTGGAGGTTTCAGTGAGCCAAGATTGTGCCACTGCACTCCAACCTGGACAAGAGTGGAACTCTGTTTCCAAAAAAATAAAAATAAAAAATAAAGTTAAGGCAAGTTAGGCCCAGGGCGGTGGGTCATGCCTGTAATCCCACCACTTTGGGAGGCTGACGTGGGCAGATCACCTGAGGTTAGGAGTTTGAGACCAGCCTGGCCAACATGATAAAACCCTGTCTCTACTAAAAATACAAAAATTAGCTGGGTGTGGTGGTACGCGCCTGTAGTCCCAGCTACTTGGGAGACTGAGGCAGGAGGATCGCTTGAACCTAGTAAGTGGAGGCTGCAGTGAACCGAGATCGTACCACTGCACTCCAGCCTGGGTAGCAAAGCAAGACCCTGTCTCAAAAAAAAAAAAAAAAAAGTTACAGCAAGTTAGGCTTTTAGGCTTTTATAGACGCTTAGAATATTTCTTCCTGCTAATAACAAAAACATATCATTTACCTTTATTGACATCCCATATGATGGCTGTGTTATCCACAGAGGCAGAAGCCATTAAATTCCCGTCAGTTGCCCAGCAAATATCATACACATCTTCTAAGTGGCCCCTAGAATCCAAAAACAAAGAGGAAAAAAGCAATTACTCCCCAGGTATAGCAGCTTACAACTGTAATCCCAGCACTTTGGGAGGCCGAGGTAGGCAGACTGCCTGTGGTCAGGAGTTCAGGGAAAGCCTGGCTAACATGGTAAAACCCCATCTCTACTCCAAACACAAAAATCAGCCAGGTGCGGTGGCTCACGCCTGTAATCCCAGCACTTTGGGAGGCCGAGGCAGACAGATCACGAGGTCAGGAGATCAAGACCATCCTGGCCAACATGGTGAAACCCCATCTCTACTAAAATACAAAAAATTAGCTGGGTGCAGTGGTGCACACCTGTAGACACAGCTACTTGGGAGGCTGAGGCAGGGGAATCACTTGAACCTCGGAGGCGGAGATTGCAGTGAGCTGAGATTGTGCCACTACACTCCAGCCTGGCGACAGAGTAAGACTCTGTCTCAAAAAAAAAAAAAAAAAAAAATTAGCCAAAAAAAAAGCCAGGCATGGTGGCGCACACCTGTAGTAGTCCTTGCTACTTGGGGGCTAAGGCAGGAGAATCCCCTGAAACCAGGAGGTGGAGATTGCAGTGAGCTGAGATCATGCCACTGCACTCCAGCCCACACGACAGAGTGAGACTCCATCTAAAAAATAAAACAAAACAAAAAACAATTATTAACTCAAAAACGGACAAGTTATCAAAAATATAAGGGCAAGCTCCAGAACTATGCATAAAATGAGATTCCAAAATTTCCACTGGCACTATATTAGCTATAAAAAACTACTTTCAAGGATCACTGTATCTCGCCGGGCGTGGTGGCTCACGCCTGTAATCCCAGCACTTTGGGAGGCTGAGGTGGGTGGATCACCTGAGGTCAGGAGTTTCAGACCAGCCTGAGCAACAAGAGCGAAACTCCATCTTAAAAAAAAAAAAAAAAGGATAGCTGTATCTTTAAAATTGAATCCTTTTTACTGAGAAAAATTCATAGGAGAAACTAAGATAATCCATTTTAATTATGCTTTCATCCTTTAAAACTATTGTCTTAGGACTGTTTCACATAAATAAAACTTCTAAATTAGACCAGCCTGGGCAACATAGTGAGACCCCGTCTCTACAAAATATGTAAAAATTAGCAGGGTGTGGTGGCATGTGCCTGTAGTCCCAGCTATTTGGGAGGTGAGAAGATCACTTGAGCCCGGGAAGTCAAGGCTGCAGGGTACTGTGATCACAGTACAGCACTCCAGCCTGGGTGACAATGAGACCCTATCTCAAAAGAAACACACCCAAAAAAAGTCAAAATGTATATTCCATTTAATGCGCTCGGAGTAAAGAGAGATCACTGCCAGGGTCCCTCCCAAGTTACCGCAGAGTCTTCACAACTGTCCAGTTCTCCTTGTTCAGCTGGGCCTCGTCCTCATCCTGAAAAGCGATCTGCTCCGGCTCCTTGTTATCATTCACCTTCCACAACAGGATGACGGCATCTGCGGGGCGATTCAATTACAGTGATCCACGCCTCACACACTCCTTCACGTCAGGATTTTTATTTATGTATGTATTTATTTTTGAGACGGAGTCTCGCTCTGTCGCCCAGGCTGGAGTGCAGTGGCGCGATCTTGGCTCACTGCAACCTCCGCCTCCCGGGACCATCCTGGATAACTGTCTCTACTAAAAATACAAAAAAATGAGCCGCACATCAGGATTTTTAGGGCATTAAAACAACATTTATGTTGTTCAGTGGACACCATGGCCACAATGATTTACTTCCAAGCATTTCAACAGGGAAAGTAGGTTTGCCTTCTCAGCTAAAACTCCAAAATCAAATTCATAATAGATCAGAGCTATACAAAATCACCTTAAACAGAAGGGTCCTAGGCCAGCAAAATGCCACTGCAAAATGACACTGGCTACATTAACAAAACTGAAGGCATAATCTATAAATAGCTGAACAGAAAAACAAAACAGCAAAGAACCCCTAGTGCAGGGGTTGGCAAATGTTCCTGCTGAGAAACCTTCAGCAAGTCACTGAGCATCTTGATGTCTCAGTTTCCTCACCTGTAAATGGGGACAATAGGCAGGGTGGGGTGGCTCACGCCTGTAATGCCAGCACTTTGGGAGGCTGAGACGGAAGGGTTGTTTTAGCCCAGGAGCTCAAGACCAGCCTGGGCAAGACAGCAAGACCTTGTCTCTACTAAAAACCAAAAACATTAGCCAGGTGTGGCGGCACACACCTGTGGTCCCACTACACAGGAGGCTGAGGTGGGAGGATCACTTGAGTCCGGGAGGTAGAGGCTGCAGTGAGTCCTGATCTTGCCACTGTGCCTGAGTGACAGAGCAAGACCCTGTCTCAAAAATGGGGAAAACAATATATCTACCTCACAGGCTGTTGTAAGGATTAAATTGGTCAATGTGTATAACACACTTACAACACAACGGCTGGCAAATAGTAAGCCCCATGGAAGTGTCAGCTATTAATATCATTATAGACATATCAGGTACTTTAGCCTGAGGTCACCCATTGTCTGAGTCCGATGACTCTCCACATTCTGACTCCACGATTACCACGTAACCTTCTGACCATCCCTTGGCTTCCTTTAGAAATGTGCACAGCAGGAGAGTGAATGAATGAGGTTGTGAGGACATGCGCATTCCCATTCCTTTTTTTTTTTTTTTTTTTTTGAGATGGAGTTTCACACTTGTTGCCCAGGCTGGAGTGCAATGGCACAATCTCAGCTCACCGCCACCTTCGCCTCCCAGGTTCAAGCGATTCTCCTGTCGCAGCCTCCTGAATAGCTGGGACTACAGGCATGCACCACCACACCCAGCTAATTTTGTATTTTTAGTGGAGACGAGGTTCCTCCATGTTAGTCAGGCTGGTCTCGAACTTCCGACCTCAGGTGATCTGCCCACCTCAGCCTCCCAAAGTGCTGGGATTATAGGCGTGAGCCACTGCACCCAGCCTGCACTCCCATGCTAAGTTAACCGGAATCCTGGTTGCACACATTAGTCTGGGAGCTTGGTTAAGATGCCATTGGCCCTGATGGATGAACACTCTCTGTGTGCTGACAACAGCAGGTTTCTGGGCCTCCAAGGCCAAGGGACTTTGGAAAATGGGGGCTGTCATGTGCAACCTCAGGGCAAACAGCAGGCAGCCACCCCTAGGTGACGCTCCTGCTCCCCACCTTTCCCTCTACAAATCAGCATGCGTGCATGCGCGCACACACACATACACACACACACACACACACACACACCCCCGTCATGCGCTCTGGGCATCATGGCACTGAACTCAACCAGGTCTCTTTTCCTCCTTCTGCAAAAATAAAACTTTAGATTTCTGTTTTATTTTGTAATAGTTTCTAGATTGTTTCAAAGTATGGTAAAAAGGAAGGTTTACTTTTTGTTTTTTTTGAGACAGAGTCTCATTCTGTTGCCCAGGCTGGAGTGCAATGATCCTATCTTGGCTCAGTGCAACCTCCACCTCCCAGGTTCTAGCGATTCTCTGCCTCAGCCTCCCAGGTAGCTAGGATTATAGGAGTGCACCACCATGCCCAGCTAATTTTTGTATTTTTAGTACAGACAAGGTCTCACTATATTGGCCAGGCTGGTCTCCAACTCCTGACCCCAGTGATCCACCTGCCTCGGTCTCCCAAAGTGCTGGGATTATAACAAGTGTGAGCAACCACATCCAGCCTGGTTTACTTTTTCCATATAGTTTTATCCCATTTAAGCACAGGCAGAAAACAAGAATCAATCTATTCCCACCAAACAAGTAAGCACAAATCACAAGACCATTCATTAACGACACTCCCGGTATGCTCCCTCCCCAGCACCCTCCAGCAGCCTGGCACTGCAGACACCAGGACTCCAAAGCAGCATCAGGCACAGCAGGGAATGGGAGAAAACGCATGGATGTCAGACCAGAGGAGCTGCCAAGCTGGATACCGATGTGGGATCTTACCCCGACGGGCACTGCTGGAGCGTTTCAGAGGCTACTATGGGTATTACAACAAGTATGTCACTGTGGGGAAAGGGAGCATCGAGGGGCTTTCCACGGTGCTGGCAGCTTATGTGCTTTTCAGCTACTAGTTTTCTTACAGGAAGATCAAACACCAGCGGCTACTCAGAGCCCATTGAAGAGGGGCCAGTGGGAGGGCATGCTGTGCTTCTGAGCCTGGCACCCCTCCATGAGGAACTTGGCCATTGCTGAATTCTTTCATATCCCACTTTAGAATTCATGCCCAAATAGCCTAGGCATGGTAGCTCACGCCTGTAATCCTAGCACTTTGGGAGGCTGAGGCAGGCAGATTGCCTGAGCTCAGGAGTTCAAGACCAGCCTGGCCGACATGGCAAAACCCCATCTCTACTAAAAATACAAAAATTAGCCCGAGGTGGTGGCAGGTGCCTGTAATCCCAGCTACTTGGGAGGCTGAAGCAGGAGAATCGCTCGAACCCGGGAGGCGGAGGTTTCAGTAAGCCAAGATCGTGGCACTGCACTCTATCCTGGGTGACAGAGTGAGACTCTCTCAAAAAAAAAAAAAAAAAAAACCCCAAATAAAAGATGACTGGTTTAAAAAACAAAAAAAACTCCCAAAGCCAATTAATAAATAATGCAGTCCTAAAGCCAATTAATTAATTATACAGAGACACTGAACTGACTCTGATCACCACAGATATTAAACTAACAATCAAACAAAACCAGAACAGCCGCCTTGCTTGGGATGTGATGGAAAGGTAAGTGCCTCTCCATCTTGTCTTGGAACAGCCCAGTGGGAGCTAGCAGGAAAGCAGCTGTTTTCAAACAGGTGTTCCCGGTGTCATCTTGCTGTCCTCCCTCTCTGATTCTACCGCACTCCCTAGAACATTATTTTACTGAACTACCTAAATGACAGATTGAGAAGGTCAGCCATATCTGAAATAAAAAGCATATCCAGGCCAGGCCCGGTGGCTCATGCCTGTAATCCCAGCAATTTGGGAGGCCGAGGCAGGTGGATCACCTGAGGTCAGGAGTTCGAGATCAGCCTGGCCAACATGATGAAACCCCATCTCTACTAAAAATACAAAAAAAAAAAAATTAGCTGGGCGTGGTGGCAGGTGCCTATAATCCCAGCTACTCAGGAGGCTGAGGCAGGAGAATCGCCCGAACCCGGGAGGCGGAGGTTGCAGTGAGTCGAGATTGCGCCACTGCACTCCAGCCTGGGGAATAAGAGCGACACTCTATCCCACCCCTCCTAAAAAAGCATATTCAGCTCAAATCTCACTATCTGACACGAGACACACCGGTATCTATCTAGTTCCTAAAGAATCTCTGAAGAACAGCAATACTCACCATCTCCTCCCGATGCTAAAATTTCCCCAGTTGGAGAAAAACGCACGACATTGACGGCTTTGGTATGACGAGCAAGATTGGACAAAAATTCCACGATGGCTTTTCCATCTGGTCCCTTTTCTACCTTCCAGATCTGTCGATACCAAAACATTCATTTGAAAAATATAGAATGGGCACATATTATACTGTTTGTATTAAAACAATACTAGGGGCTGGGTGCGGTGGCTCACAACTGTAATCCTAGCAGTTTAGGAGGCCAAGGTGGGTAAATCACTTGAGGCCAGGAGTTCAAGACCAGCCTGGAAACATAGTGAGACCTGGTCTCTACAGAAAATTTTAAAAATTAGCCAAGTGTGATGGCACATGTCTGCAGTTCCAGTTACCCGGGAGGCTGAGGTGGGAGGATCACTTGAGCCCTGGAGGTCAGGGCTGCAGTGAGCCGAGATCAGGCCACTGCATTCCAGCCTGGGCAACACAGTAAGACCCTGTCTCAAAAAAAAAAAACAAACAAACAAAAAAAAAACTATGCTTATTTTCAGAAACAAATCCCTACCTAAAACATAAATGTCTACTGTTCCCCTCCGCCTTCTTTCTAGAGCAACTTGTTACCCAGTAGGAACCAGGATCAAAATCCCAAAACAATGAATGTCCAGTTACAATAATCTAGGGAAAATGAATCAAATAAGAAAGCAGAGCCGGGCATGGTGGCTCAGGCCTGTAATCCCAGCACTTTGGGAGGCCAAGGCAAGTGGATTACCTGAGGTCAGGAGTTCGAGCCTAGCCTGGCCAACATGGTGAAACCCCGTCTCTACTTTATATAAAAATTAGCCGGGTGTGGTGATGAGTGGCTGTAGTCCCAGTTACTTGGGAGGCTGAGGCAGGAGAATAGCTTGAACCTGGGAGGCAGAGGTTGCAGTAAGTCGAGATTGCACCACTGCACTCCCGCCTGGGCAACAGAGCGAGACTCCATCTCAAAAAAAAAAAAAAAAAAAGCAGCTCTCTTTTGCTTTCATTGTTCACCGCAGGCCCTGGAAATTTAGCATTCTGGGCTAGATGACAGAGTAGTTTGAATTTGTTGACATATGTTCAATTCATTCATTCATTTACTTAAGAGAAGGGTCTGGCTCTGTCACCCATGCTAGAGTGCAGTGAAGTGATCGTTGCTTGCTTCAAACTCCAAGGCTCAAGCGATCCTCTCACCTCAACCTCCCAAGTAGCTGGGCCTACAGCTGCACACCGCCACCTCCTGCTACTTTTTCATTTCTGGCTATGTTGCCCAGGCTGGTCTCGAACTCCTGGACTTAAGTGATCCTCTTACCTCAGCCTCCCAAAGCACTAGGATTGCAGGCGTGAGCCACCGCGCCCAGCCGACATTGGTTTTAAATAAAAGAATGAAAACTATTGCTTCAAGCAGTGTTCCCAGATGGCTATCTCTGCCCCAGTTTACCCTGACAGCGGTGTCCACGCCGGCAGACGCTAGTCTGTGGATCCTCCCGGCCGCCCCATGCTGGAAGTCCAGGCTGTACACGGGCTCCTTGTTGTGCCAGGCTATTTCACAAGTGATGACTTTCATCCTCCTGAGTCTTGAAGGGGCAAAACGCTTCTCGGGCACCGTTCTACTTCAAGACGGAGGAAAGCTGCAAAATGCTGGTGATGGATTAAACAACAGTGTTAGCAGCAGCGAAGGGTTACTGAGCGCTGAATAGGGCAGGAGCCATTTAAAATGCACACTGCATTAGGAAAGGATGTTAACGTTGCCATCTGACAAGAACACCTTGCTAGCTCCACCTAAAATGCTTCGCTGGGTCCTGACATCCACAAGTTTATGATACGCCGCTATGTCCAGAAAAGCAAAACCAAACATCCAGGTAGAGGCTACCTAGGGGCCCCGGCCATCTGAACGGCCTGTCCCCGCTTAGTAGGGTCTAGGGGCGCGCCCTGAGAGCCCAGGTAGGGGCCCGCCCCGGGAGGGGCCTCCCGGAAGAGGGGGGCAAACGGGGTAGGGGACCGGGGCGGCGGGGCGAGAGCAGAACCCCGCCTTTCCCAGGGACCGGGCGCTGGGCCCGGGAAGCTGGGACGGAGGCCGCCGGGAGGAGGCCGCGCGGGGCCGGGGGGGGGACGGGGCCCCGCCGCCCGAACGCGCGCCCTCCGGAGCTATCCTGGGCCCCAGGGGCCCGCCCTAGGCGAGGGCCTCTGGCCCCAGATCGACCCGACCAAAAGAGCCGCGGAGCCGCCCGGGCCAGCCCCGGGAAGCCGTACCTGCAGGGACCCGGACGGTCAGAGGCGCCGTCACCTCCCGCGCAGCGCGCGCCGCTTCCCGCGCGCCGCAGGCCCCGCCCCCCGCATGGGTGGGACCTCATGGACGCCCCGCCCATCAAGCGCCCCTCAGGTCCCGCCCGACGTGGGCGGCACCCCAGGGAAGCCCCGCCCCCTCCTAGGCGCCGAGGCGAGTCCTGGTCTGGCCCTGGGGTCGGAATCCTGGCCGGAATTTATTCCCGCCAGACCCACGACTGCAGGAAGAATGGATTCACTATTATTTATTATTATTATCCATTATTTATTCCTTGTTGATTCGTTCTTTTAGCAAACGTTTACAGAGCCTGGGCTGTGTGTTAGACCGACCCTATGCTGGCGCTGTGCACTTGAGAGGGCGAATACGACCGGTTCTCTAGCCCCTTCTGCAAACAAAACTGAGATCTCTGGGTTTCTATATTGGCTTCTAGAACATTTTGGAGAGTTCAAAGCTATGAAATTCTTCAGTACCTAGCGCAAGGTTGCTTACATTTTATTATTATAGTAGACGCAGTTATAAACCCTTTCTAAGAACAGACTCACATTTTAAAGTGAGGCGGTAAATTGATCGGTAGGCACAGATACCGCAGGCCTTTTGAAATGGGACGTTTCCAGATGAGACCTAATTTATCTGTGGGCTTCGCAGAAGGCCAGGAAACAAGTACCTCTGGATGCGCTGCTTTTACTGGATAAAAGAAACACACAGGTTTATCTGAGGAACCAACTGCTCTAGGATTTTTGGGAAAAAAGAACAGACATGGATTCTTATATAAATACTGGCTGATGCTTTTAGCCAGCTTTATGAAAGGTACAGATATTGCCTAAAAATCAGTGTCTCATGTTGATAAGAATGGCTGTATGCTCCTTGAAGCCTGATTTCTACAGGAAGCTAGAATAACATAATCCGAATATGCCATTTTTAGATTTTTTCTCTCCAGAATTTAGAGAGTTTGGACTGGGAATGACTATATACTTTAGATAATTTGGCTGTTATGAAAGTACAGACTTCTGGCCCTACCAGCCCCATGATTCCGAACATCCAGCAGAGGCCCCTGCTCCAGGAGCTTGCATTTTCATTCAGTCTGTTTTGGAAAGCTCAGGATTCTTCGTGTCTCTCCAACATCAAATTTCTCCAAATTTCTCATAAATGCTGTTTATTCACAAATGAATAATCTGCCCACCTCTTGAAGTGTCACGACGCTGAACATGGATTTAAAAGATAAAAACACATGCTTTAAGTACTAAAAGTACATGAAGGAGTTGACTTTCTTGGTGAACATTTTAGAGATCCAACTTCAGTGCCAACTTGATAAGCCAACACGGGCAGGGGATGCGGCTCCAGAGAGAGGCCCTGGGCTATCTCAAATATTTTCTCAAAAAAAAAAAAAAAGAAAGAAAGAAAGAAGTTATTTGCTCAAAACCTCAAAGTTTGCACCACAAATGTTGGACTAAAGAATTCCTGCCGGGCGCGGTGGCTCACGCCTGTAATCCCAGCACTTTAGGCCAAGGCAGGTGGATCACGAGGTCAGCAGATCAAGACCATCCTGGCTAACACGGTGAAACCCTGTCTCTACTGAAAATACAAAAAATTAGCCGGGCGTGGTGGCGGGCACCTGTAGTCCCAGCTACTGGGGAGGCTGAGGCAGGAGAATGGTGTGAACCTGGGAGGCAGAGCTTGCAGTGAGCTGAGATGGTGCCCCTGCGCTCCAGCCTGGGCGACAGAGCTAGACTCCATCTCAAAAAAAAAAAAAAAAAGAAAAAGAAAAAGAAAGGAATTCCTCTAACGCAATTCTAACTAGATTCCTCAACAACCACTGGCCTTCAGCTTGGGCCCCAAGCATCCATTTTGGGCAGAACTGCCTCAATTTAAGGGGACCAATGTTATTTGGTTCCTGAGAACTTTTTAATAATGAAAATTGATATAAAAGCACTCACTCTTAACTCAGCTTCGAAAAAAACTTCTCAACACACTTTAATTTCCATTTGTACGTGTGAACATTCTAAAATCAAAATCTGAGCCAGGCATGGTGGCGGCGCCTGTAATCCCAGCTACTTGGGAGGCTGAGGCAGGAGAATGGTGTGAACCTGGGAGGCAGAGCTTGCAGTGAGCTGAGATGGTGCCCCTGCGCTCCAGCCTGGGCGACAGAGCTAGACTCCATCTCAAAAAAAAAAAAAAAAAAGAAAAAGAAAAAGAAAGGAATTCCTCTAACGCAATTCTAACTAGATTCCTCAACAACCACTGGCCTTCAGCTTGGGCCCCAAGCATCCATTTTGGGCAGAACTGCCTCAATTTAAGGGGACCAATGTTATTTGGTTCCTGAGAACTTTTTAATAATGAAAATTGATATAAAAGCACTCACTCTTAACTCAGCTTCGAAAAAAACTTCTCAACACACTTTAATTTCCATTTGTACGTGTGAACATTCTAAAATCAAAATCTGAGCCAGGCATGGTGGCTCACGTCTGTAATCCCAGACGTGATTGGCCTACTTTGGGAGGCCAAAGCAGGCAGACTGCTTGAGGCTAGGAGTTCCAGACCAACCTGGCCAACATGGCAAAACCCCTTCTCTACTAAAAATAACAAAAACTATCCAGAGTGGTGGTGTGTGCCTGTAATTCCAGCTACTCGGGAGGCTGAGGCAAGAGAATCGCTGGAAGTCGGGAGGCGGAGGTTGCAGTGAGCTGAGATCGGACCACTGCTCTCCAGCCTGGGCGACAGAGTGAGACTCTATCTCAAAAAAAAAAAAAAAATTTTGATAACAGAAATAAAAAGTTCAGTAAAGGGTTGGAAAAAAATGTTGAGGAAATATCAGAATAAGAAAAATAGGGAGAAGCCAAGCGTGGTGGCTCATGCCTGTAATTCCAGCACTCTGGGAGGCTGAAGTGGGTGGATCACTTGACGTCAGGAATTCGAGACCAGCTTGACCAACATAGTGAAACCCCATCTCTACTAAAAATGCAAAAAATAGGTTGGGCGCGGTGGCAGCGCCTGTAATCCCAGCTACTTAGGAGGCTGAGGCCAGAGAATCATTTGAACCTGGGAGGCGGAGATTGCAGTGAGCCGAGATTGCGCCATTGCACTCCAGCCTGGGTGACAAGAGCAGAACTCCATCTCAAAATAATAATAATAATAATAATAATAATAATAATAATAATAGCCAGGCATGGTGGCGGCGCCTGTAATCCCAGCTACTTGGGAGGCTGAAGCACTAGAATCACTTGAACCCAGGAGGCGGAGGTTGCAGGGAGCCAAGATCATGCCACTGCGCTCCAGTCTGGGTGATAGAAAGAGACTCAGTCTCAAAAAAGAAAAAAAGAAAAATAGGAGAAATGACAGAAATCAGTACAGGAGAATGGCAACAACAGGACCTCTGGCACACTACTGGTAGAAGTATAAACTGATGTAAATACTTTAGAAAACTGTTCAGCAGTGTCTAATAAAGTTAATGATATGCCTACCCCATGACTCAGCAATTCCACTCCTTGGCATATGTATCAGGAAGACAAACTCATACAAGAATCATTATTCATAATAGCCCCAAACTGGAAAGACACCAAATGTCCACCCACAGGAGAAAAGGTAATCAGACTGTGCCATATTCATACCACAGCATTCTACTCAGTAATCCAAAAGAAATACTGACTGTGATAGTTAATTTTATGTGTCAGTTTGCCCAGGTGAAGACATAGCCGAGAGGTGGTCAACATTATTTCTGCCTATGAGGGTGTTTCTGGAAGACTTCAGCATTTGAATCAGTAGACTGAGCACAGAAGATCTGCCCTCACCAACCTGGGCAGTATCTGGAGCATCATCTAACCTGTTGAGTCTGAAAAGAACAAAAAGTGGAGGAAGGGCGAATTCTGTCTCTTCTCGAGTTGGGGACATCCATCTTCCACCGTCAGATGTCAGAGCTCCTAGTTCTCAGGCCTTTCAACTCCAGGATGTACGCCATTGGTGTCCCTGGTTCTCAGGGGCTTAGGAGTGCGACTGTTATACCACTGGCTTCCTCGGGTCTCCATCTTGCAGACAGTAGATCATGGGACCTCTCAGCCTCCATACCCACTTAAGCCACTCCTCTTGATCAATCTCTTGCATCTATCATATTGGCTGTTTTTCTGGAGAACTCTACACTGACTGACACAGGCAGCAACACGGATGAAGAAACACTGTGATGCACACAAGGAGTTATTTCAAGTGATTGGCAAACACAGAAATTTTATACTACCCCAAAGAAAATTTACCTCCAGTCATCCTATGGCTAGAAAATACTGGTATTGTTACATATATGCATACGTATGTATTTATGTATACATTGGGAAGAGCAAATAATTATGTGGTTAGGAACCAAGATTTTCAGCAAAAGAGACTATAGTCTCTTTTAGTTCAGTCCACTAAAAAGGCCTAGAAATGCCCAAACTAGGCCAGGCACAGTGGCTTATGCCTGTAATACCAATACTTTGGGAGGCTGAAGCAGCCCAGGAGTTCAAGACCAGCGTGAGCAATGTAGCAAGACCCTGTATCTAGAAAAAAAAAACAAACAAATCAGCCATGCATGGTGGGACGCACCTATAGTCCCAGGTACTTGGGAGGCTGAGGAAGGTGGAGCACTTGAGCCCAGGAATTTGAGGCTGTAGTGAGCTATGATTATGCCATTGTACTCCAGCCTGGACAACAGAGCAAGACCTTGTCTAAAAAAAAAAAAAAAGCAAAAAAGAATAAAAAAAAGAAAAAGAAAAAGAAATGGCCTAACTAAAAACAATGACTATATCTGTGCCTAGATTATGGTCTTCAAATAGCATTTCCCACAAAACGAAGCAGAGCTCTTGGAGAAATAGCTGTCACCAAGTCTAGACAAGGAAATTTATTAGATGTATTGAAATACCTTACATCTGAAATACCCTGGAGTATACAGAGTACAGAAAAACAACAACAAAAAAAACAAAACCATAAATTAGGGCTCATTCCTGTAATCCCCGCACTTTGAGAGATTAAGAGGTGGGGGAAGTGCATCGCCTGAGCCCAGGAGTTTGAGACCAGCCTGGGCAACAAGGCAACAATCTGTCTCTACAAAAAAATACAACAATTAGCTGGGCATAGTGGCGTCTGCCTGTGGTCCTGGCTACTCAGGAGGCTGAGGTGGGAGGATCACCTGAGCCTGGGAGGTTACGACTGTAGTGAGCCGTGATCGCGCCACTGCTACTCCAGCCTGGATGACAAAGCAAGAGCCTGTCTCAAAAATATGTATTTTTTAAGGCCGGAAGCAGTGGTTCACACTTGTAATCCCAACACTTTGGGAGGCCACAGTGAGCAGATCCCTTGAGCCCAGAATTTCTTGAGACCAGCCTGGGGAAAAAAAAAAAACCCAAAACAAAACAACTAAGCAAGGTGGGTTGGACAAGCTTGCTGGTACCTCAATTGCCTCCATGAATATCACATTTTGAGAGAGATTCCCACCAAGGGAGTCACAAAACAAGGGACAATTGCCTAGAAAAAAAAAAAAAAATTATATACTCAAATTACCTGGAGTCTTGGTTCAGATCACAGCACAAAAGGAACCCCATGGGAGATTAGGAAGACTTGACTCCTTTGTGAATATAAAACACCATTACATTTTATTATGAAGATACAGCCAGCTGGGCATGGTGGCTCACGCCTGTAATCCCAGCATTTTGGGAGGCCAAGGCAGGCAGATTGCTTCAGGCTAGAAGTTGCAGCAGCCTGGGCAACATGGCAAACCGTCTCTACAAAATATTCAAAAATTAGCTGGGTGCAGTGGCATGTGCCTGTAGTTCCTGTTACTCATAAGGGCTGAGGTGGGAGGATCACTTGAGCCTGAGAGGTCGAGGCTGCAGTGAACTGTGATCATGCCACTGCACTCCAGCCTGGGCAACAGAGTGATACTTTGTCTCCAAGAAAAAAAAAAAAAAAAACCCACAAAAAAACACAAAACTACAGCCAAATTCTAGATATTCACATATCAAGCACATACATAACCTAAATATTGTTAGCCAGGTTGGGGTAAAAATCCTTTATATTCAAATTTAAATGTATTCTGTCTTGTTACCAAGATATTGAGTCCTGATGACTCTCTAAGAAATTGTGGCTCTAAAAGGTTTCTTAACTCTTAACCAGACTTTCTTCCTACAGGCTAGTATATGAAAATTAACTCTGTGATCAAGAAACAATTCTAAAAAGCAACACATTTATTTTTTCCTCTACACCAATCAGGTATTAATAGCATTCACTTTGTGAGCTGTGACCAACATTCAACAGACAAATATGCAAAGATAGGATTCTATTTAGATTTTCAAGCCACTTCAGTGAGTCCCTGTTTATGAGACACTGCACAAAATAGGACTTAACCAGTCAGGTGCAGTGGCTCAAATGCCTGTAATCACACTTTGGGAGGCCCAGAAGGGTGGATTGCTTGAGTCCAGGAGCTTGAGACCAGTCTGGGCAACATGGTGAAACTGTTTCTACAAAAAAACAGAAAAATTAGGTGCGCATGGTGGTGCAC